GGAGCGCCGCGCCAGGCTCCAGGAAGGCCGGGATCGCGTTCCCGCGGCGGCCGAACAAACTCCGGGGCTCCTCCCACTTCCGGGAGCGCAGCGTCCGCACATCGCGCAGGCGCAGTAACGGCCAAGCGTGGCCGGGGGCGTGGTTACTTCGGCCCCGCCCACCCGGCGGGGCCTGCGAGTGAGTGACACTAGGGCCGCGGCTCGATCCCAGGGCTTGAGAAGATGCCAGGCGCGCGTGCCGCGTGTCCCGGGAGGTTAACGTTCATCCCCCGAGGGGTCTTTCTCATTCGCATTCTCTGCTTCTCCCTCTCTCTCTCTCTTTCTCTTTCTCTCTCTCTCTGGGGAGCGCACGCGCCCTATAGCAAAAACAAAAAAATAAGAGAAATCTTCTGGAGAAAACGACCTGCACTTGCCACCACCAACCGTGCCCCCCACGGCTGATTCGCTTGTTGAAAACTGCTATCTCGTTCATCGAGAACGTTAAATTACTTCCGGCTTGTTAAGAGATTGCAGTCGATATTGAATGTAAGGAGAAAAATAACATTTTTAAAGTCAGGAAAATTAAAAAGAGCTCGCTCGCTTGCTTGCTTGCTCGCCCTGAAGCGCCCTCCCCACGCGGCCAGCCCCTCCCTCTGTCCCGGGAAGGGTCGGCTGAGCGCCTGAAACCTCGGTCCCGGCTTCCCGCAGGCTCCAGGCGCCCAGCTCCAGGGCCCAGCTCCGGCGCCCAACTCCAAGCGCCAAACTCCAGGGTCCAACTCCAGGCGCTCAGCTCCAGGGCCCAACTCCAGGCACTCAACTCCAGGCTCCCAGCTCCAGGCTCCCAGCTCCAGGCTCCCAGCTCCAGGGCCCAGCTCCAGGGCCCAGCTCTAGCGCCCAGCTCCTGGCATCCAGCTCTAGTGCCCAGCTGGAGCGTCCCTGAGCTCCCAGGACTGGGGCAGCTCCTCCTGGGGCCTCTTGCCTCCTCTGGCCATCGGGCTCCTCCTGGCTTCGTTCCTGACGTTCCATCACTTTGTGCAGGAATTGTTTGCGGGCTTGGGTCCTAGGCTCACGTCTTTACTCGTTTCCTTCTCAAAGAATGCAAGACTTCCACCCTGGTCAGTTGACTACCTCTGGAGCTGTAGGAGGGAATTAAATCGTGTGTGGAGGGACTGGCAGGTGGTAGTGGCTGAGGCACTGGACTCCCATGTGGCCCATAGCGTTTTGAGACCTGGCATGTGTGAGCTTGCCCCAAATCCCAGGAGAATTGAGGTGAAGGGATTGCAGTGTGGCCATCTCCCTGGGGGGGGAGGGGTTCTTTCTTTCTCTCTGTCTCTCTCCAGCGAGTACACGCACTCTGGCAAAAACCTTTTTAAAAGAAGTTTGAGGGGGAAATGGGATTAAAGCATTAGGTTATTTTTACGGAAAAAATTTTTTTGGAATCCATGTATAGTTTCTTCATAGTAGTCATTTTCCGTGAATTTTTTGAAGAGCCCCTTGTATTTATCACCCACGGGCGAATAACCCCAGAGTTTATGTTCCCACCCAAGGTCTTAATCCTGAGCACCAGATCCAGGGAACACCTCAAACTAAACCCGCTCTGCCGAGCAATGGTCACTCTCCCACCCACTCATTGCCTTTCCCAGGAAGTAGCTCCACAACTCACCCAATTGAGTTCTTCACCTTCCTTAATGCTGCCAAGGCTCAGAATTATCTAGGGTGTGCTTCTCTCTCTCTCTCTCTTTGTTTTTGCCAAAAGGTGCATGCACTCACAAGAGAGAGACAGAGACAGTAACACAGAGAGAGAGGGAGTGAGCGATCACCCCCACCAGATGGCCATGCTGCCATCCCTTCTCCTCCGTCTCCTCCTAGGGTGATGGAATTGCAGTTGGCCATCTGGGAATCCAGTACTTTCATCGCCGCGCAACCAATGGCCCCCTCTTTCCCGGTTAGCATGAAACACCTTTTTCCTTTCCATTCTTAGCTTGCTAGTAGTTTTCATTTCAGGGTTTTGTAGCTAATTCCTCTCACTACTTAGATCAGAGATTAAACTCCACCTTCTCCAGAATATTTCCCCTAAATTCCCAGATTTTGTAAGATTCAGCCTCATATAGGGTCTGCTTCTTTCCTTGGCTTTTTTTTTTTTTTTTTTGGAGAGGTTTTCACTATAGGGCGCGGGGGCTCGCCAGACAGACAGAGACATAGAGACAGAAAGCGAGAAATCACCCCCAAGGGGGGATGGTCACG